ATTTGAACAGAAACCAAGCTCAAGGAAAATCTACTTATCTGGCTATGGTGTGGAGCTAGCAATTAAGAATACAGAATACAAAGCATTGGATGATATCCAAATTAAAAGTAAGTTTCTTAACATTTTTATAAGGATTCTTTCTTTTGTGTGTTTTATTGTTACGGGTTCTCCTCAGATCAGCTGTGAAGACCCTAACCTGGATCGGGTCCCCTGCCAATGGGGGAAGGGGGGCAAGAGGCACAGAGTCACAACACACAGACTCCAGGAGTCGGGTAGAAGCAAGCACTAGGCAAGGTGCTGCAGGCTCGTTTAATGCAGGAGGGGGCAGGCCTTATATTTCCCTTTTCTCCACCCCCAAGTCCCTTTAGTCAGTGTATAGTTTTCTGATTGGTCCACGACACGCAGTCTGTCAGCAGTCACTGGTCTCGCTAGCAGGGTATGGAGGCGTGGTCTCCTTTTGGCGGCCTATTTACGGACCAAGAAGTGAAGTGAATTCTCGCTGAATCCCAGGGCTCTGAGTCTACACCATCCCTGGAGGCCTCCTGCTACATTTCCACCCTTTTTCTTTAAAAATGACTATCCAGCGAGAGCCTGTAGGCAGCTCCGCCTCAGGATGACCCCAGGATCATGGACTGTGCCTGTCTTAGGTTGTCCTCTTTGGGCATGAACCTTACCCATCATTGGAGCATGGGCATACATGTCCATGTCCTGGCTTAGGTTGATTCAGCCCAACAGGATCTTACCCATCATTGAGTACCAGCCCTCCAAGGGGTATTGTCCCAGGGGATCAGTCAAGGTGGGGAATTATCTGTAGGGGGCCTCATACATTTGTGCAAGCCAAGTCTGTCAGGCTGCATAGGGCAGGTTGAAATCATCTTCATGTATTGCTCTGAGGGCCTGATACACCGAGTGACTGAATTTTTTCTGACTGTGGGAATAAAGAACAATGCATTTAAGAAGTAAAAAGAGAAGAATAATTATGTTTGTCAGGAGTAGGTAAGTGATGATCCAAGATGGGTCAAACAGTGCTTTTAGATTAGACCAGATTTTCTCTAAGAACCCTGAATTGATGTCCAGCGTGGGAGCACAGGTATAGTTTAGAGCAATAATTTGATTAGTTAGTAATATAGAGTAATTAAGAAACTTTTGATTCCAGTGGCCTGAATATAGTGCGTGAGTTGTAGGCGCACTTCAGTAATATTCTGTACTTTATAGGGGGTGAGACAAAGTGACCTAAAGTGAGGGTCACAAGCTAGCAGAGCCATGTCTTTGGTAATTGCCAGCTCTTCACTTAAGAGATCAATTTGTTGTTGTAACATATTAATTGCCTGGTGAAGATGCTGATTGATAAGAGACTGAGTGTGAAGGGTAGAGGAGGTTTTGGACACGACCTCGTTGAGTGTCCCCACAGGAGGATTGGGTGATAGTTAATGCAGCGGTGGCTGCCAACCCTAATGCAAGGATGATGGCTGAGATGAGAGCGGCAGTGACCCCGAAATCCATTTTAAGTGGGTGACTTGTGACAAGGCTCTCCACTCCATAAAGGTGACAGCATGGAAGTGGGTTGCATTGGTGACTGGAACCCAAAGGGCCACGGGTTCACACATAAAGAGAACTATGTGAGCTAGATGGTTCCAGCAAGCCACCAGTACACATGTGGTGTTGGTATCGGAGCAGTTGAGTTGTCCCTGAGGGTTGGAGGTAACATTGGCCAGCAATAAGGCAAATGGGGGCCACACGCAAATGGGGGTAGGGGGCCAGGATGTCATGTGATCAATGGATGTAAGGATTTTGTTTTTGGCACAAGTAGAGGGATTGATGTTAGTGTAAGTGCCATTGGAAAGCTGAAGGCCCTGCTGTGCCAGTAACGATCTCATGTCCATGCAGGCGTGCAGACCACAGAGGTCCCAGTTACCAAGTATTTATTCACCGTTGGTATGGGAGATCTTCATGCCACAGGGATAGGTGGGGGCCAGTTGTCTCCAAGATCCTAGGGGGTGATTAGAGGGGGAGCGGCTGAAGCAGCAAAAGGGAGGGATGGCATGGTTGGGCTTAGGGTGGCATCTCTGCCACGGTATAGGGAGTGCGAGGAAAAGGTGCAAGGGAGCATGTGCGTGGGCAGTTGGGGAGTGGTGGGCATAGAATGGCAGGGCAAAATGGTGGCAGAGGGGTGGCGGTCCCTTCCACCTCCCCTGTTATTATTGTCCCCAGTGCAGTGAAGACTGAGGTTACATCAGTGTTGTTGAAGGTAGGGGCAAGGCCCTGGAGTTTAAGCATGTAACCCGAGGAGGCACTGCCAGTATAATCTTGGATGGTCAGGTTGAACAGCCCAATGCATGTGGATGCATTGTTGGTAGTGAAGAATAGAGAGTTATTTAGGGGCCAGGAGCCATTGAGTGATTCCCAGGAAGTAACTGGGTCCATGGTGGGGAGGCCAAGCATAGAATTAGTTGAATAGAGGGTGGGGTAGACTGGGGAATGAAGCAATAAAGGCAAGAGTATAGGCAGGGAGGGGACCAAGGCTCAGCGATCATGGGCCGTGGTAGGGGCGGGGAAGAGCAAACCAATTATCCAGACAGCGGCAAGGTCTCTGGGTCCTGGGGGGTCCTGTTGGTCGGTTGCTGGTCTCATATCTCTCACTGGAACCCATACTGGCTTTGTTTCTGTCTGAGGAAACACACAAGCATAGCCTTGCCCTGTTGTTGACAAGGGGGCAGGTGGTTGCCATTGACATGTTACAGGGTCCTTCCATCTCACTAGTGGCAGGGGTGTAGGCCTAGGTATGGTAGCCCAGTGTTTGTAGGCCGGGCTCAACCAATTTTCATCGAAGGATAGGAAATTAATGCTGAATAGAGTTTCAATTAGAGCCAGGTGCAGGTCCCTTTCAGACTCAGGGGTCGCAAATTTTTGTAATGTTTCTTTGAGAGTCCTATTTGTCTGCTCCACAATGGCTTGTCCCTCTGGATTATAAGGGATGCCAAGGGAGTGGCTAATTTTCCTTGTTGACAGGAATGATTGGAATTGTAGAGAGGTGTAAGCTGGCCCATTATCAGTTTTTAGGGTCCATGGCACTCCCATTACCAGCATTGCTGATTTGACCACCTTAATGGCTTGTGAAGCCTTTTCACCGGTTTGAGCGATGGTGGAAAGAAAGGAGGAGTAGGTGTCAACAATGACATGGACATACTTAAGATTACCAAAGGAGTTATAATGGGTGACATCCATTTGCCAGAGGGCATTGGGTAGGAGACCACTTGGGTTAACTCCATATTTATTGAGGGGGCCTAAGGGAGCAAGGGGTGCACATGTAATGCAAGATCTGCTCAGATGTTTGCATTGAGAGATGGGTAGGTTGGGTAGAAGGCAGTGCAGACTACGAGGAGAAAGGTGAAATTGTTGGTGTAAGGCTCTGGCTTGTTCTAGTAATGGAATCTCTACAGACATAATAAGTTTATCTACTTTGTCATTTCCCTTTGCCAAGATCCTGGGGAGCTTGGTGTGTGATCTTATGTGGGAGATGTGTCAGGGCCATTGTCTGTTATCTAAGATAATCTGGAGAGCTCTCATTGTTCTAGTGATGGGATACTTGTTGCCTTTTACTTGAACAAAGGGAGGACATCTGAGGGCCTGAACCGCATATTGGCTGTCAGAGAATATATTGAACGGCTCAGTCTGGCAGACTTGGAAGATTTTTAACAAGGCCAGGAGCCCCCCCAACTGGACAAAGCCGGGATTGGCTTGTACGTACCAGGTGTCATCTTTTCCCATGCCCTGAATGACAATGCCATAATGGGACTTATTGGCATCCGAGAAGGCTAGCGTGGCTAAAAGCGGCGGGGGGGTGGGGGTTGTAGGGGGAAGTGTATGGCTGAGTGGTGATTTCCAGGCTGGCCAGTCACTTATCTGGGGGTGTGTGGTTATCCAATTCCCCCGTGAACCCGGACATCATTAGTTGGAAAGCCAGAGAGTCTGCCCATAATGTTTGGGAATGCTTAAGGGGAAAGGGCAGTATAATTTGGTCAGGGTCCTTTCCAAATATGTGCCTGGCTGTTTGTTAGGCCTTAATTGCTAACTTGAAGGCAATATCATACTTAGAGCTAAGCCTAGTTAGGTCCAAGGTAGCCAGGTGGATCCACACCAAGGGGTCTTGCTGCCATAGCGCCCCCAAGACACCATTTTTAGTCCAGAGGATCAAGGCCAGTAGTAATTCTGCTGGATCATGACATTGGAGTGATGCAGACCAGAGAATATGATCTATCTTATTAAGAAGATCCTTAGCTAACTGGATGAGAGGGATCCTTGAAGTTGGTGAATTATGGCCTTCCAGCAGGGAGAACAAGGCCCAGAATTCCAAGTCAGGGACTAGTATAAATTGTTTGAGCCAGGTTATAGTCCCACAGAGTTCTTGGAGCTCCGTCAAGGTATGCACAGTTTTTTGCAAGATGGAAGGGTTAAGCGGTTTAATTACAGTATCTATATGATAGCCAAGGAATGTGAAAGGTTGGATGTATTGTAACTTGTCTCGTGCAATGTGGAGACCTAGACATTCTAAATCGGCAAGCAGACTGGGTATTGCAGCCTGTAAAGTATTGTGAGATTTGTGTGCTAGCGGTATGTCATCCAAATAATGGATGACAATTAGGTCCTTGGGGATGTTGGTTAAGGCCTTATTAACATATAATTGACAGATTGTGGGGCTATTTTTCATACCCTGTGGTAGTACCTTCCATTGGTATCTCTTAGCTGTTCTTTGAAAGTTGGGCTCCCATACTGTGAAGGCAAAGTGAGGTCTATCTTGTTCTGCTAGTGGGATTTGGAAGAAACAATCTTGGATATCAAGTACTATGATATGATGGGATGGGGGGATCGCTGTAGGTTGTGGTAAGCCCTCTTGTAGCGAGCCCATCTTTTCCATCTGGGCATTGACTGCTCTAAGATCTTGGAGAAGTCTGTGTTTCCCCGATTTCTTTTTAATAACAAATATTGGGGTATTATATTTACTGAGAGAGGGCTCGATGTGGTCAAGCCTCAATTGTTCAGCTACCAAACTTTGGAGGGCAGATAATTTAGGTTCTATTATAGGCCACTGGTCCACCCAAATGGCATC